CTTGAACCCAGGAGGCAGAGGTTGCAGTGAGCTGAGATCCTGCCACTGCATTCCAGCTTGGGTGACAGAGCGAGACTCCATCTCAAAAAAAAAAAAAAAAAAAAGCTAACAAAAAACAAAGAAGAAAACTAGCCAGGCATGGTGGCGTGTACACCTGTAGTCCCAGATACTCAGGAGGCTGAGGCGGGAGGATCACTTGAGCCCAGGAGTTGGAGGCTGCAGTGAGCTATGATCATTTGCCATTGCACTCTAGCCTGGGCAACAGAGTGAAACTCTTGTCTCTAAAAAATAACAATAACAAAGAATGAAGGAGGGCCAGGGGTGGGAAACAGGAAGAGACAGTACTGGGGCATGAAGAGATGAAAGAGACAGGAAAGGTCAGACATTGTGAGACGAGGTGGAGCCTGGGCCTGACCTGTGAAAGTCCTCAATGCAGTGGATCTGGCTCGTAGCATCCACTGTGAAGGGGATGCCGTCGAGGCCACGGTGACACACCACGCAGGTGAAGCAGCCAGGGTGGTAGGCCTTCCCCATAGCCCGCAGGATCCGGTCCAGGATGGGCTGGGAGCACGTGGCACATTTCTCCAGGGTGGCCTGTTGGGAAGGAAGGCAGGAAGGTCTGGGAGCAGGCGGGAGCCATGGCAGCACAACAGGCACCCCAGCAACCCAGCCATCTAATTTCTGCAGCCCCCTGCATGTAATTCGGTGAAAGGCAGACTTGACCAGATCTGAGTTCAGGTCCCAGCACTACACACAGTATTTAACCACTATGAGAAAAACAGGCATCAGGCTGGGTGCAGTGGCTCACGCCTGTAATGCCAGTACTTTGGGAGGACAGAGTGGGCGGACTGCTTGAGGCCAGGAGTTTAAGAACAGCCTGGCCAACATGGTAAAACCCTGTCTCTACTAAAAATACAAAAATTAGCTGGGTGTGGTGGTGGGCACCTGTAATCCCAACTACTCGGGAGGCTGAGGCATGAGAATCGCTTGAACCAGGGGAGGCTGAGGTTGCAGTGAGCAGAGATCATGCCACTGCGCCCCAGCCTGGGCAACAGAGCGAGACTTTGTCTCAAATTTAAAAAAGAAAGAAAGAAAAAGAGGAACAGGAATCAGTAGTAATACCGGCCTCACAGGGGTGTCGTGGGAATCTAACACATTCTCTTTAACTGTAAGACGCTCCACACTTGTAAGAGCTGCATCCTTCCCTCCAGCCACCAGTGTTAAGCTACTTGCTTGATACTTGCAGAATTCCTCTCTGTTTGTACATCACTTTCAGTTACCTGGCTTTTAGCACCGTTCCTCCTTTGGGCTTGGATGCTCTAGTTCCCACCTTGGATGGAAGCCCCCTGCATCCAGTCGCTGACTCCCTCCCCACAGCCCCAGCCACTCACCACATAGCAGCCCTCGCAATACGCCCTCCTCTCCACGGCATAGAAATGCTGGCCCCGAAGCTGGGCCCGGCATGTAGAACACACAAAGCAGCCCACATGAAAGACGCGATCGAGGGCCACAACCCCAGCCCCGTCCCCGACCACATCTTCTCCGCAGCCACCACACTGGCCTGAGGATAGGGAGAAACAGCATCAGTCTTCACAGACCCAGGAAGCCACTGTCGCCTCTGTCTCCCAGCCTCCCTTCCCACGCCCCACCCGCTCCACAGCCTCAGCTCACCGAAGTACTCCCCGCTAGGCGGGTGGTTCATGTCGTGCACCAGCTTCTTCGTCAGCCTGTCCAGCTCATCCTCTGGAGGCTGGCTCAGGTGCACCTGGAAGGTGGGAATCAGGGGCTCGGTCCTACTCTAGTTCCTGATTCTGTAATACCAGGGTCCTCAACCCCCAGGCCATGGCCTGTTAGGAACTGGGCTGCACAGCAGGAGGTGAGCAATGGGCAAAGCTTCATCTGTATTTACAGCCACTCCCCATCACTTGCATTACCACCTCAGCTCCGCCTCCTCTCAGATCAGCAGGGCATTAGATTCTCATAAGAGTGTGAACGCTATTGTGAACTGTGCATTCGAGGGATGTAGCTTGCAAGCTCCTTATGAGAATCTAATGCCTGATGATCTGTCACTGTCTCCCATCACCCCCAGATGGGACCGTCTAGTTGCAGGAAAACAAGTTCAGGGCTCCCACTGATCCTACATGATGATGAGTTGTATAATTGTTTCGTTATATGTTACGTTGTTATATATTACATTGTAATATATAATGAAACAATTATATATATTGTATGTTCCATTATTATAACAGAAATAAAGTGCACAATGAATGTAATGTGCTTGAATCATCCCGAAACTATCCCCCTCCCATCGCCCTCCCCAGTCCATGGAAAAATTGTCTTCCCCAAAACTGGTCCCTGGTGCCAAAAAGACTGGGGACTACTGTAATGTCCCTGAAGGTGGCCAGGCAATTCCAGCTAGAAAGCTCATCTGAGAACATCTCAGCCCAGGGGCCTGTGGGCAGTTCTTTTTTTTTTTTTGAAACGGAGTTTTGCTCTTGTTGCCCAGGCTGGAGTGCAATGGTGCGATCTCGGCTCACCACAACCTCCACCTCCCAGGTTCAAGCGATTCTCCTGCCTCAACCTCCCGAGTAGCTGGGATTACAGGCACGCCCCACCATGCCTGGCTAATTTTGTATTTTTAGTAGAGACGAGGTTTCTCCATGTTTGTCAGGCTGGTCTCAAACTCGCAACCTCAGGTGATCCGCCCGCCTCAGCCTCCCAAAGTGCTGGGATTACAGGTGTGAGCCACTGTACCTGGCCCCAGTGAGCAGTTCTATCCTGCTCCCCCATACCACGGCCCCACCCTTACCTGTTCCACATCCCAGACCTCTGACTCTGCTCCAAAACCAGCCCCTTAGCCAGGCGTGGTGGCTCACCCCGTCTCTACTAAAAATACAAAAATTAGCCGAGCATGGTGGCGCATGCCTGTAATCCCAGCTACTCGGGAGGCTGAGGCAGGAGAATCACTTGAACCCGTGAGCCAGAGGTTGCAGTGAGCCAAGATGGTACCAATGCACCCCAGCCTGGGCAAACAAGAGCAAACTCTGTCTCAAAAAAAAAACTAGCCCCCTAAAACACCACCAGCCATCCCACCCAATCAGTGTCCCATTGCCTGTAGGACCCGAAATCCCAGTTCCCCAGGGCTTACCTGGGGCCCGTGCTCGCCTCCTCTTCCTCCTCCTGCAGGGCCAGAGACCCCAGCAGCTTCCTCTTTGGCCCCTGGCCCTGGCTCTCTCTGGCTCCTATAGCCAGGCCCCCAGACTTCACCTCGGCCTGGGAGAGGAAAGTGGGGACCCGGGAGGGGCCCAGAGGCCTGAGAGGCTCCCCGCCTGGGTGGGCCACAGCCCCTCACTGGCTGTGCCACCTTCACTTGTACGGGGAAGGCCGGACCAGCTGGGGTGCTGGCAGTAGCATAGGAGGCTGGAGTGGGGCCCCCATAGGGAGACGCTGGGAGCGGCGAGGCTGGGTTCGGCTTCAGGGAGCCCGTGCGGTAGGCAGGAGGTGGCGGGGGCTCGTATGCCTAAGGAGAAACGCAGGCCAGAAGCCGTAAGCAAGGCCCCCACTCCAGGACCCACATTTGTGGAAATGACCCTGGGTGTGGGGAAACACAGGCTTTTGCATTTGGCAAGGTCCCGTCCTCAAGTGGCTGACATGTTGGTACTTGCAGCCGTGCTTCCTCCATGCTGAGGTGCACATCACATACATCGGGGGGTCGGGCTGGGTCTGAGAGTCCACAGAAGGGGGCAGGGTGCCAATGGGGAGGAGGGGCAGAGTCACCTGTCGCTCTGGTCGCCGTGGCACATGACCCCGACCCCCATTCAGCTCGGCCAGCGTGCTGCTCAGCAAGTCTATCTCGGCATCCAGGCTTCCGGGGCGAAGGCCCCCCCTGTCTGCAGGGAGCCCCTGAGGATGGAGCCAGAGCAGGGAAGAATGCAAATCACCATAGGCCTTCTCCTGTCCTGGGTCCCCCAGACTCGGTTCTAGGGGACGCCGCACATCCCACCCCGCAATCCCAGTTCTCACCTGCGTGCGCTGGAGTACTCCATGGGACCCCACCCAGGCCGGCCCCCGATCCTCCGGTCCCCCTGGGGCCTGGTAACACTGCTCAGATGGGAGGGGGCAAAAATTGACCCTGGGGTGGGGCTGGAGTGCTGGGTTGAGGGAAGAGAGATCAAAGGTGGGGTGGCGGAGGACAGGAGGGGTGTGCATTTGGGGAGCTGCCCTCTTTGCCCCTCCTTACCTCCTCCCCCAAACCTAGGGTCCCAAGAGAGCGCAGGCGGCTGTTCCCCCCGGCTTGGGGAAGGGGTAAGAGGAAGCAGGCAGGGCGGGAGGCTGGAGCTGGAGGACAGAGGTGAGCGCCACAGCCGGGTAGCTCTTCTGTCTCACAAGGGCTGCCTTACCTGCTCCATGGGCCGGTGGAGGCCCCGGGGTGCCTCGTGGGATCGCCCTCCCCTGAGGGGCTCTGGCAGGCTCTGGCTGCTTCGGGGGCAGCCAGGTGGGCCCCGACATGGCCTGGAACGGGGGGACTCCAGACAACAGTCTTGAAGCCCCGGGCCTCTGGCCTTCAACCCTTCTTCCGTCCGGCACCTCGTTTGGGACTCCAGAAAAGAAAACTTTTTCTGTCTTTTTTTTCCTCTTCCTCCCTAATTTTGGGGACGACCACGCCCCCGATGACGTCACCACATTCCTGGGGGAGGGTCACGTGGCCCCCTAGGCCCTAAACTGCCATTTCTCCCCGAGTCAGCCCCCTCCTGCCAAGAGGGGAGGGCTCTCCCGGGGAGCCCGAGTCACTGGGGGCTGTGGGCAGCTGGGGATGGGAGGTGCAGGCCCGGGCCAGCCTCCAAGTCCACGGATGCGTCCAGGCCCCGAGCCCCAGCCCTGCACGTGGCAGCCTCACTGCGGGAGGCTGAAGGCTCCGATCTCCACCCCTCTGCAGAGCTCTCCCTTCCCACCCGCTCCCTCTCAGCTACCCACCAGCACTGCTCAGCCAGCCTGTAGTGTTTTGGTCTTTTATTCATGGTCAGCAGAGTTAGAAAAATAAAACAGAACGAAAACATCACCACCCCAGTGGGCCGGTGAGTCTGGCCAAAATGGGGAAACTGAGGTAGCCCAGAGTCACGGAGGCCTGGCCCCTAGCATCAAGGCACCAGTGAAGGGAGGCTGCGGACTCCCTCCCCTGCACAGTGGGGACAGGCGCCCAGAGTTAGTGTGCTGGAGTCCCTCTGTCAAAGGAGGTGGCATGATCCCCTTCAAACCTCCCCTGGGCTCCACGTCCCAAGGGCAGGGCCACGGGACACAGTGCTTTCCTCCTCCTCCTCCTCTTCCTCCTCCTCCTCCTCCTCCTCCTCCTCCTCAGGATCGGGATGGGCCACCTGCCTGGGCCCTCTCTACCCAGCCCTGGAGGCAGGGGCATCAGAGATCAGTGCAGGTGACTGGGGTGACCCCATGAACCAGCAGCGTGGGGCCCAGGTCTCGGGTTAGAGTCTCCAGTAGCGCCAGGTATCGGGGGTAGCGGGCGGGATCGGCGGGCGGCCGAGGCAAGTACAAGAAGGTGAGGGCTGTGGTGGGGCCCTCGGTGTCCCCACCCTCCGGCCCACCCGGCCCTCCTCCTGTGCCACGCCCCTGCTGGGCCCGAACCAGGGCGTTGGCGCTGCGTGCCAGGGCCTCTGCCTCCGCATCTCCCCGCCCACTGTTCACAAAGTCCCCTTCCTCCTCCACCTCGGGTTCCCCAGCCCCAGCCCCCTCGCCCCACACCACCTCCTGCACCTCAGCCCGGATCCTCAGTTGGCTCAGCAGCGCCCGCAGCCGCCCCTCGGCCGCCCCAGGCGCCTCCCTAGGCCCCAGGCACAGGAAGATCCGGAGCCGGGCGCTATGCCAAGCGGGCACCATGCCCAAGATGGTTGCCATCTGCAGTAGGAAGAGGCCGCAGACGTCCACGTAGCCGGGCCCACCCCGGGGCCGCAGCAGGTTGAGGGGCCACACATCCACGTGGTGCAGCTGAGAGGTGCCCCCAGACCCCCGGCTCAGCCGCTCAGGGGGCAAGGCCCCACTGGCCCGGGCCAGCACCACATTCTTGTTCATCTTGAGGGCATCGGCCACCGTGGCCACGTAGTCCTGGGGACTGAGAGCCCGGGGGCTCCCAGGAGCCCGGGGAGGAGGGAACAGGGTACTCAGAGCTGGGGAACTGCCCTCCCTGGTACTGTCTGCAGGCTCAGAGAAAGCCGGGTCTGTCAGGAAATGGTCCTGCGGTGGAGCGTCATCGTAGAAACCCAGGACCAACGTGTTGGGCTTCATGCCACCTGGGGGCAGAGCAGGGAAGGCAGGAACAGACAGGAGTCAGGCTCACAGGCTAAGTTTACACCACGCTCCCACACGCTGACAGCAATGTGTGTCAGCCATAGGTATGACACTCCCACTGTGTACGGGCTCTCACGGCAACATTCTGCACATTTGCATAATGACTTTTCATTTTTCCTAAACACTTTCACATGCATTTATTTTATTATCTCGGTGACTAATCTCCTCCACTTAAACAGGCAAAGTTCGCATTAGGATTCTTGCCACTAATGAGCACTCCAATTCTGCGGAGAGAGTAGGACGCTGTCCACTCCCGGCTTCTAGCGGGGCATCTGTTTCATGGTAGGAGATGAGAGTTTGACTCAGTTGTGCAAACCAGACACCCTGATCAGCCAAGCTGATGACCTGAATCCCCAGGGTAATAGCGTCCCAGACTCTGCTATGGAAAGATGAGAAAATGGACCAGGCAGGGCGCAGTGGCTCACACCTGTAATCCCAGCATCTTGGGAAGCTGAGGCACATAGATCACCTGAGGTCAGGAGTTTGAGACCAGCCTGGCCAATACGGTGAAATGCTGTCTCTACTAAAAATACAAAAATTAGCCAGGCACTGTGGTGGGTGCCTATAATCTCAGCTACTCAGGAGGCTGAGACATGAGAATTGCGTGAAACCGGAAGGTGGAGGTTGCAGTCAGCTGAGATCACACCACTGTACTCCAGTCTGGGCAACAGAGTGAGACTCCAGCAAGACTCTATCTCAAAAAAAAAAAAAAAAAAAAAGAACCAGGGCTACCCAGTATGTTTACTGCAGTAAACCCTAACCCTAGTAGCGTTTACTGCAAAACCCTAATCGTGGTGGTTCATTGCATGGTATCCACTTACCAGTGGCTGTGTCCTATAGAAAGCACTTTGTATTTTAACTTATTTGAACCTTGAAGTAATGCTATGAGGTAGGTACTATTTAGTCTTCTCTTTTTACTGATAAGGAACCCAAAGCACCAAGCGATGAAGTCACTTGCCCACAGGCTCATGGCTGGTAGGTACTGGGGCAGGTAGGTCAACGCAATCTGCCTCCACCCAGCATGAGAGGCCACACTCTGAGCCACCGAGCTGGGCACGTGCCAACCACAGTGCTCCAAGTCCCTGCTGACAAGCTCTTGGTTCTTAATTTTTGAACAACCCATGTGGAATCGGATAATTGCCCCCTTGAACCAGGCTGAGTTTACAGGGAGACGCGGAGAGTTACAGGGAGACGTGGAGACGTCTTCTCATGAAGCAAACGTTGCTCAACCCGTAAGTCAAATTTTCTATGATAGGAGAATCCACCATTTAAAGGAAATACTTTTCCTTTTATTGGAATAGGTTGGTGCAAAAGTAATTGCGGTTTTTTTTTCCCATTAAAATGGCACCCTAGCACTTTGGGAGACGGAGGCGGACCTGAGGTCGGAAGTTTAAGATCAGCCCGGGCAATGTGGTGAAACCCCATCTCTACTAAAAATATACAAAATTTAGCCAGACATGCTGGCGTGTATCTGCAGTCTCAGCTACTTGGGAGGCTGAGATGGGAGAAGCACTTGAACCCGGAAGGCAGAAGTTGCAGTGAGCCAACATCGTGCCACTGCACTCCAGCCTGGGCAACAGAGTGAGACCCTGTCCAAAAAAAAAAAAAAAAGCAAAAACCGCATTTGCTTTTGCACCGACCTGGTATCTTCCACAGGAAAACTTTCATGAGCATTGTGGTCTCTGCACAAAAAGTGAAGACCAGGCTCTCAGACACTCTGTGGGTCAATGATGCTTGGCGACACCCCAGCACATCTCAGCAGGTGTGAACTCCAGCTGATCTTGCAAAATAAACTAGTCATGCCCCCTCCTGAGTATTTCCCAGGGTTCTGATTTACACTGAACTGGGCAATGTCCAGCACTGTTGAACTTCAGCCAGACTCTGAATAGAGAAGGAAGCCTGCACTTTGGTGACAGGTACTGGTCCAGGATTAAGGGAGAAGGCAGTGACTGAGCACAGATAACCCTGGTGGCCTCAGCGCTAAAAGCTGAGAATTCACTGCTCCATCCACAAGCGTCCGCCCCACACAGCCTCCAGCATCCTTTGTGGCTTCGGGTCAGGGCGGGGCGGGAGAGACAGTTACTTCTCCTACATCCCAACCCCTTTCAAAGCCTGGCTGAATTACCATCTCTCCGCAAAACCTTTGCCGGCCATATCAGTGCATAGTGGCTGGCATGCCTTTCTCTGAACGCTGGTGGTTAAAAACCACCTGATTTGATGAGGCAGCTGGAGATTCAAATAATGCTCCATTGTCCCCAAAAATACACTCTTCAGTGCCCATGCCCCAATTTTTGGGTCAGAAAAAAAAAGAAAGAAAGGTCAGGTGCCTGTAATCCCAGCACTTTGGGAGGTCAAAGCGGGTGGGTCACCTGAGGTCAGGAGCTCAAGATCAGCCTAGGCAACATGGTGAAACCCCCATCTCTACTAAAAATACGAAAATTAGCCAGGCGTGGTAGCACACGCCTGTAATCCCAGCCAGCTACTCAGAAGGCTGAGACAGGAGAATCACTTGAACCTGGAAGGCGGAGGCTGCAGTGAGCCAAGATCGTGCCACTGCACTCCAGCCTGGGCAAGACAGAGCGAGACTCCGTCTCAAAAAAAAAAAAAGGAAAAAAAAAACCGCAACAGCATTGCCAGTCCCTAGCATCTCCTATTAGACTTTATCACACACTGTCTGAGGCTATTATCTTTGAGCACTGTCTTATCTGCTCTTGACTATAAGGTCCTTTTGCAGTTTGCAATCTGCGGCTGACTCTCTAGGGGCGGGGAGCGGAGATGTGAAGTGGCCACAGAGGAGGGCCAAGGGCATCCAGGGAGGAGCAGCTCACCGAGGCCGGAGATTCGCAGCAGATGCTGAGCCCCCTGGCGCACAGAGGGTGAGAGAGTTAGATCCACAAAAGCCTTCACCTGGGCCCGGTCCACCAGGCTGAGCCATGCCCCGTACTGCGGCTGTACAGGGTCCGAGGGGAGGGAGTCTACAGAGAAGATAAGGAAAGGAAGGTAGCCAGTGTTGGCCAAACTCAATGTCTCCTAGAGTCCAAATCACAGATGCGCCAAGGCAGGGCTATGGCTGCTTGGAGGGGTCATGGGGAAGGAAATAAAATGGGAAGAGGGGCCGGGCGCGGTGGCTCAAGCCTGTAATCCCAGCACTTTGGGAGGCCGAGACGGGCGGATCACGAGGTCAGGAGATCAAGACCATCCTGGCTAACACGGTGAAACCCCATCTCTATTAAAAAATACAAAAAAACTAGCCGGGTGAGGTGGCGGGCGCCTGTAGTCCCAGCTACTCGGGAGGCTGAGGCAGGAGAATGGCGTAAACCCGGGAGGCGGAGCTTGCAGTGAGCTGAGATCCGGCCACTGCACTCCAGCCTGGGCAACAGAGCGAGCCTCTGTCTCAAAAAAATAAAATAAAATAAAATAAAATAAAAAATAAAATAAGGCCGGACGCGGTGGCTCAAGCCTGTAATCCCAGCACTTTGGGAGGCCGAGATGGGCGGATCACGAGGTCAGGAGATCGAGACCATCCTGGCTAACACGGTGAAACCCCGTCTCTACTAAAAACACAAAAAACTAGCCGGGCGAAGTGGCGGGCGCCTGTAGTCCCAGTTACTCGGGAGGCTGAGGCAGGAGAATGGCGTAAACCCGGGAGGCGGAGCTTGCAGTGAGCTGAGATCCGGCCACTGCCCTCCAGCCCGGGCGACAGAGCAAGACTCCGTCTCAAAAAAAAAAAAAAAAAAAAAAAAAAAAAAAAGATAAAATAAAATAAAATAAAAAATAAAATAAAATAAAAATAAAATAAAATAAAATAAAAATAAAATAAAATAAATAAAATTAAATAAAATTTAAAAAATAAAATAAAATAGAAGAGGGACTAGTGTCATGGCTCATGCCTATAATCCCTGCACTTTGGGAGGCCAAAGTGGGAGGGTTGCTTGAGCCAGGAGTTCCAGACCAGCCTGGGAAACATAAAGATACCTCATCTCTACAAATTAGCCAGGCCTAGGGGCTCACACCTATAGTCCCAGCTACTCAGGAGGCCAAGGCAGGAGGATTGCTTGAGCCCAAGAGGTTGAGGCTGCAGTGAACTATGATGGCACCACTGCCCTCCAATCTGGGTGACAGAGCAAGACTTTGTCTCAAAAAAAACAGGGGGAGGGGGACTGGTCATGGTGTCTCATGCCTACAATCCCAGCACTTTGGGAGGCCGAGGTGGGTGGAGCATTTGAGGTCAGGAGTTCGAGACCAGCTTGGCCAACAGGGTGAAACCCCTTCTCTACTAAAAATACAAAAACTAGCTGGGCATGGTGGTGTGTGCCTGTAATCCCAGCTCAGGAGGCTAAGGCAGGAGAATCACTTGAACCTGGGAGGTGGAGGTTGCAGTGAGCCAAGATCATCCCACTGCACTCCAGCCTGGGCAACAGAACGAAGCTCCATCTCAAAAAAAAAAAAAAAAAAAAGGTAGGGGGAAAGAAGGATGGGAGTGAGTGAATGAGTGGGAGGGCAGCTCACCAAGGTCTCCCAGGGTGACGTGGCCCAGCACGTAGAGCCCCCCCTTCTTAAGCTGGTTGGCCAACCGCAGCAGAGGCAGGGCGCCCCGGGGGTTCCCCACCAGGAGCAGCAGCTGGGGCCGCCAGAACTTCACGTGATCCTTCCGGACGTCCAGCCGGAGCAGATACTTACGCACCTGGGTACATGGGTGAGGTGATGGGGAAGTGGCAGGATCAAATACACAGCCCTGTTCAGCACCTCCTGGACGGGAACACCAACTCCAGCCAAAAAGACGGGGGGTTATTTGACCACCTCCCGTCTCCCCACCACCCCGCCAGCTCCGCGGGGATACCTGATGGAAAAGCAAGGCCTGGCTGACATAGCCCCAGCTGCTGGGGCCTCCTCGCGCGGTGAGCAGGGCAGCCAGGAGACCCATGAGGAGCAGGGAACCACCGGCCGCACCAGGGCTGATGAGGAACATCATGAGCAGGCAGGAGGCCACCCCCAGCAGGCAGGTGTGCCAGGAGAACAGGCTGAAGGTGGGGCTGCGGGCATGGAGGGGAAGAGAGACAGAAACTCAGGGCTGGCCGCACCCGAGGCTGCTGTCCCCAACCCCACACCTGAGCCTGAGTCCTCCCCATTTTTCCATTCCTTCCTTCTTCTCTCTGGGGACAAAGGCCTCTGAGTCTCTCACCGGAAGTTGGGGGCCGAGGCCCACTCCAGGCTCAGGCAGGACAGGTCCACAGCGGCATAGGCCACCAGGTAGAAGACAGTGACCACGGCAGCCAGCGTGTTCAGCTTCCCGGCCAGGAGCACCAGCTGGGCAGGGGCCAAGAGGCATTGATCCAAAGTGCCGGTGTACCCCCAAAATGCCAGTGAACACCAGAGTGCCAGTGTACCCCCAAAGTGTCAATGAGCCCCAGAAAGTGCCAGTGAACCCTGCAAAGCGCCAGTGCACCCCCAAAGTATCAATGAACCCAACCCCCAAAATGCTATTAAACCCTAAAAGTGCCAGTGCACCCCCAGTGTCAATGAACCCCGGAAAGTGCCAGTGTACCCCCAAAGTGTCAGTGAACCCCTGGAAAATACCAGTGAACCATGCAAAGTGCCAGTGCACCCCAAAGTGTCAATTAACCCCAGAAAGGGCCAGTGCACCCCAAAGTGTCGATGAACCCTGAAAAGTGCCCATGAGCCCTGCAAAGGGCCGGTGTACCCCCAGTGTCAATGAACCCCAGAAAGGGCCAGTGCACCCCCACAGAGTGCCACCAAACCTCCAAAGTGTCAGTGAACCCCACAAAGTGTTGGTACATCCCACAGAGTGCCAGTGAATCCCCCAAAGTGCTGGGGCACCCCACAAAGTGCCAGTGAACCCTGAAAAATACTAATACACCCCACAAAGTGTCAGTGAACCCTGCCAAATGCCCGTGTACCCCAAAAAGTGTCAGTGAACCCCCCAGGGTGCCAATGAACCCTGCGAAGCACTGGGGCAACCTGCAAAGTGCTGGTGAACCCCACAAAGTGCCAGTGAACGCTGCAGAGTGCCAGTGCACAGCCAAGTGCATACACATCTGCCTTTGCATTTGTCTTCCAGCCTGCATCTAACTGCGCCCCATCCTGCCAGCTGGTGGGGTGAGGGAAAGGGCCCCTTGAAGAAGGCGGCTCACCTGCACCAGGCCCCAAGAATACAGTACAGCCGCCCAGGGGTTTCCGCCCCGGGACACAACCTTGGCCGGCGCCAAGATCACTCCTAGAAAAACAGAATCCACAGCAGACCCATCAGCCGGGGCCTAACTGTGATGGACAAACAGACAAGGGAGGGCGTGCTCTGAGCCAGCAATGAGGCAGAGAACCCACCAAAGAGGTCATCCCGGGCCAGGGCATGGAGGATGCGGGAGGCGCCGATGAGCGAGCTCATGGACGCTGAGAGCGCGGTGGCATAGATTCCGATCAACACCAGTGGGGGCCACAGGCTGATAGCGCGGAAGAACCCATAGTCTTCCTGCAGCAAGGTCCTAGGAAGGAGGGAAAGTTGGACACAGATGATCATGCGTCATGGGGTAGGAAAATCTCCAGCCCTGATCTTAAGGATCAGACTCAGATATCAAATGTGCTAAAGGGATATGCCTGGTATTCATTGGGCGGCCTTGGATTTAATCACTCAGCGGTCATTCCTTTCTCTTTTTTTTTTTTTTTTTGAGACGGAGTCTCGCTCTGTCGCCCAGGCTGGAGTGCAGTGGCCGGATCTCAGCTCACTGCAAGCTCCGCCTCCCGGGTTCCCGTCATTCTCCTGCCTCAGCCTCCCGAGTAGCTGGGACTACAGGCGCCCGCCACCTCGCCCGGCTAGTTTTTTTTTTGTATTTTTTTAGTAGAGACGGGGTTTCACCGTGTTAGCCAGGATGGTCTCGATCTCCTGACCTCGTGATCCGCCCGCCTCGGCCTCCCAAAGTGCTGGGATTACAGGCTTGAGCCACCGCGCCCGGCCTCCTTTCTCTTTTTTTTAAGAGACAAGGTCTCACTCCAACCCCCAGGCTAAAGTGCAGTGCTGTACTCATAGCTCACTGCAGCCTCGACCTCTTGGACTCAAGCAGTCCTCCCACCTCAGCCTCCCAAGTAGCCAGGACTACAAGCATTTGCCATCACGCCTGGCTAATTTTTGTATTTGGGGGGAGGGTCTTGCTATGTTGCTCAGGCTGGTCTGGAACCCCTGGGCTCCAGCAATCCTCCTGCCTGAGGCTCCCTAAGTGCTGGGATTACAGGTGTGAGCCACCGCACCTGGCTGTCATACCTAACGGTATATGCACAAAAGGCCAAATATTTGTGGAAATGCAAACTGGGTAGAAAGTCACTAGCCACCCTCACTTGCAAGCTAAGTGCCTACAACAGTACTGGGTCCATGGCAGCTGCTGGCTACAGGTTGTCAATCGCTGGTAGCTACCCTCCCCCTATTTTCCCTCCACTCCAACAAGCTGGGTTTCTGCTCCCCAGTCCCCCAGCCTGTGCTTCCCTTGGTGACCCAGATGCACCAATCTTGTTTGACACTCCATCCCCGTCCCTCCCCAGACACCTGTCACAGGTGAAGCTGGAGAGGAAGAAAAGCAGGACATAGACGAAGAAGGTGTAGGCGACAGCGACGATCGTGCCCAGAGGGATCGCACGGCTGGGGTCCTTCAGCTCCCCTGGAGAGGGGGGAGCAGAGGGAGCGAGGTCAGCCCTCCCACCGTCCCCCTGGGTCCCTCACGGTGGCAGCCCCAAACCCCCAGGAGGCAGCAGGCAGGGACTCTCACCTGACATGTTGGCCCCAGCCATGATGCCTGTACAGCCGTTAAAGAGGACAGCAAAGACGCTGGCAAAATTCATCATGGCTCCTGTGGTGTAGTCCTCAGCGTAGCCAGCTAAGAGGATCGTCCCACGGAGGAGAGGGCATCAGCATCCCTCTCGGGGATCCAGGCCTCTTAGCCACCCTCTCCACACATTCCCACGGTCCCCTTGCACCGTACTCACTAAAACACCAGCCTGCCCCTGCACTGGCCCTGGGTCAGCCAGACACATTGCCACGTCCCCCTAATGCTCTGACATTCCTCCCTCCAGACCCTAATCCATACTCTTTTATTTATTTATTTATTTATAAATTTATTTATTTATTTAGAGACAGGATCTCGCTCTGTCACCCAGGCTGGAGTGCAGTGGCTCACTGCAACCTCTCCCTCCTGAGCTACAGCGATCCTCCTGCCTCAGTCTTCCAAGTAGCTAGGACTACAGGTGTGCGCCACCACGCCCATCTAACTTTTTAATTTTTATTTATTTATTTATTTATTTATTTATTTTGAGACGGAGTCTCGCTCTGTTACCCAGGCCAGAGTGCAGTGGTGTGATCTCGGCTCACTGCAACCTCTGCCTCCCTGGTTCAAGCGATTCTCCTGCCTCAGCCTCTCAGGTAGCTGAGGTTACAGGTGCCCGCCACCACGCCTGGCTAATTTTTGTAACTTTAGTAGAGATGGGGTTTCACCATGTTGGCCAGGCTGATCTCGAACTCCTGGCCTCAGGTGATCCACCCAGCTCGACCTCCCAATGTCCTGGGATTACAGGCGTGAGCCACCGCACACAGCCTGTTTTTTTTTTTTTGAGACAGAATCTCATTCGGAAGCCAAGGCTGGAGTGCAGGCGTGGCGATCTTAGCTCACTGCAGCCTCTGCCTCCCGGGTTCAAGCGATTCTCATGCCTTAGCCTCCTGAATAGCTGGGACTACAGGAGTGCACCACTGCCCCTGGCTAATTTTTGTATTTTTATTTTATGGTTTTTGGTTTTTTTTTTTTTTTTGGAGATGGAACCTCGCTCTGTCACCCAGGCTGGAGTGCAATGGCGCAATCTCGGTTCACTGCAACCTCCACCTCCCAGGTTCAAGCAATTCTCCCTCAGCTTCCTGAGTATCTGGGACTACAGGTGCAAGCCAGCGTGCCCAGCTAATTTTTGTATTTTTAGTAGAGACTGGGAGAGGGTTTCACCATGTTGGTTAGACTGGTCTCAAACTCCTGACCTCAGGTGATCTTCCTGCCTCAGCCTCCCAGAATGCTGGGATTACAGATGTGAGCCCCCACACCCAGTCTCCAGCTCTTCCCTGAGGTGCTTTCCCTCTCTGTTCCCAGCTCCTGACTGAATCCCCCACCCATCTATCTCAGGCTACCTCCAGCTCCCCGGCTCCTGCCCTCCCCAGCCCATAGTCAGGCCTCCCTCTCTCCACTCCTGGGAGATCCTGATCTGTTAAAGTCATGCTGGGCCTTACTGTGCTATTTAACTGATTCCTAAATGCACGTCTCTCCTCAGCTAGAACACAAGTTCCTCTAAAGCAGGGACTGTTTTGTGGGCTTCCTCCTGCCCCGCTGGCCAAACACATGCTAGACAGGCCTGAATTAAACTGCACTGCTCTGCAGTCCAGACCTCCTGCCCATTCCCTCTGACACCTGTGCTCATCCAGAGATTTTTTAAGGGCCCAGCCCTGACGCTTGCCCACCCCTCGCCCCGAGATTCCTGCCACGGCAGTGCCCAGCTCACCAGCCAAGTTGTCCTTCAGGGTACTGCTGTTGAAGCCGGTAAAGTGGCCAAACCGGGGTGGCAGGGAGGAGCCATTGGGGCCAGGCCGAGGGGTCAAGGGGATGTCCCTCGGCCCTACAGCCACAAAGCTGATAAGCACAGAGGCCAGGGAGCCGGAGACCAGCAGGAATGTGAGGAATGAGGCCCTGGCATAGAGGCCAGCTCCCAGGGTGCAGACCCCACCCACAAGGCCCAGCAGCAGGGAGCCATACAGCAGGTTCCAGCCGTAGCCCTGGGGCAGGACCCGGAGCCCACTGGGCCCTGTGGCATCTGGAAAGAGGTAGGGACAGAGTTAGAAGGCCCGATCCTAAGGCACCCCACCAGCCGGGCATGGTGGGCGGCTCACGCCTATAATTCCAGCACTTTGGGAGGCTGAGGTGGGAGGATCACTTGAGTCCAGGAGTTTAAAACTAGCCTTGGCAACTTTGTGAAACCCCGACTCCACAAAAACTGCAAAAATTCGCCAGGCGTGGGGAGGCATGCCTGTAGTCCCAGCTACTGGGAGGCTGAGGTGGGAGAATCGCTTGAGCCCGGGAGGCAGAAGTTACATTGAGCCAAGATGGTACCACTGCACTCTAGCCTGGGTGACAGAGTAAGACCTTGCCTCAAGAAAAAAGAAAAAAAAAAGGGGGGCAGGGCGCCAGGGCTCACACCTGTAATCCCAACACTTTGGGAGGGCTGAGGCAGGTAGATCACTTGAGGTCAGGAGTTCGAGACCAGCCTGGCCAACACAGTGAAATCCCGTCGCTACTGAAAATACAATCCTTAGCCAGGCGTGGGGGTGAGTGCCTGTAATCCCAACTACTCAGGAGGCTGAGGCAGGAGAATCGCTTGAACGCAGGAGGCAAAGTTTGCAGTGAGGGGAGATCGCACCACTGCACTCCAGCCTGGGCGACAAAGCAAGACTCCATCTCAAAAATAAAAAAATAAAAAATAAAAAAAAAGAAGGTACCCAGCCCCAACCATGACATAAAGCAAGACAAGCCCCCCTCTACCCACCTGCTGTCAGAGAGACCACCTTCCCCACTTCCCTCTTAGCTCCATCCCAGCATCTTAGCTCTCCCTGGTAGTCTCTGTCAATTTTAAGAATCTTAGCCTGGTCTCTCCGATTAGACGGTTAGCTCCCTGCAGGCAAGAACAATCTCAGGGATGTCCACATCTCCTGCACGATGCTGGCCACACAGCAGAAGCTCCAGAAAGCCAAGGTAATGGCTCAGTCTGCCCCTCTCCTGTAGAGGACCTTCTCCCTCATGATCCCACACTCCCAGACCCTGCAAACCCGCAGCACTGCCCAGATCGGACAGAGCACAGACCGGCCCCGAAGACGTCAAGCACAGACTCCACCAGTCCCAGCAGGGAGACGGCACAGCCACACACGTTAGCCAGGTAGAACATGAGCCCAATGCTGCCCCCGACCTCGGGCCCCAATGTGCGGCTGATCATGACTGAAAGTGGAAGCGTTAAGGGAAAAGAGACTGAAATGGACGTAAGGAAGTTGCCATAGCTCCAGGCACTTAACCTGAGTGCAGCCAGGCCCCAGCCATGTGGCTTTGCACAAGTCACTCATACCCTCTGAGTGCCAGTTTCTGCATCTGTAAAACAATCACTGCCTAACAGATGAGACTGTTAGACTAGAAATTGGCATTAACATGTAGGGCAATGTTGATCTCCTTCATTATACGAGCGTGCCTGCTGCACATTTATTAAAACTTGCCCTGCCAGGCCAGGCATAGTGGCTGACACCTGTAATCCCAGCGTTTTGGAAGGCTGAGACAAGAGGATCACCTGAGGCCAGGAATTCAAGACCAGCCTGGGAAACATAGCAAGATTCCATCTCTACAAAAAATTTAAAAATTAAACAGGGGTGGTGGTTCATGCCTATAGTGCCAGCTACTTAGGAGGCTGAGGCAGGAGGATCACTTGAACCCAGGAAGACAAGACCGCAGTGAGCTATGATGGCGCCACTGCACTGCAGTCTGAGAGTCAGTGTCTTGCTCTGCTGCCCAGGTTGGAGTGCAGTGATGCGATCTTGGCTCACTGCAACCTCCACCTCCCAGGTTCAAGTGATTCTCATGCCTCAGCCTCCTGAGTAGCTGAAATCACAGGCAAGTGCCAGCATGCCCAACTAATTTTTGTATTTTTAGTGGAGACGGGTTTTCACCATGTTGGCCAGGCTGGTCTCGAACTCCTGGCCTCAAGTGAACCGCCCACTTCAGCCTCCCAAAGTGCTGGGATTACAGGTGTGAGCCACCGCACCCAGCCTAAAAAAATTTTAAGAATGAAAAAAAACACTTGTCTCGCCCCTGAGCCAACAAAGGTAATGGCCCCTTCCACACCCTCCCGAGCAGGCAGAACAGCCCAGACCCCAGTCCATCGATGTTGGAGGATACAGTAGGCTCCACCCCCCTGCACGGCTCCATTGGTGGCAATGGCACAGACAGAGAGGACGGTGAGCGCCAGGATGAAGTAGGCAACCAGCAGCATGGCCAGGGCCTGCAGCAGCCCAGCATGGCCCACCACGAACCCTGAGGCAGAAGCAGCGAGTCAGGTCACAGGGGCTCACACCCCATATCCCCCACGCCCTGGGTCTGCAGAGCTCCAGGGTGGAGCTAAATGCAAGCCCACAGGGAGCCCCTCCCCAAACCCTTTAGCCAACCACTTCTCTTGGGTCCCCTTCCTACTCTCATCCCAGTCCCATCTCCACCTCTCCCCATCATGTCCTCCCATACTACAGTTAGTCCACACCCGCCCCAGAACCCACTCACCAATCCTCAGAAAAACAACTATGCTGAACATGGACAGGACAGTGGGCACCACCACACCCAGGAAGGTGGACAGCTTCCGGGCAGATGCCCCTCCAGGAGCCCCGGCCCCATTGAGAGGGAGGGCCGTCCCCTCCTCCCCCAGGAGTCGGTAGGCCAGCAGAGGTGAGCTCTCACTGGCCATGGCTGAGCACAGGTAGAGGAAGACACAAATGGGTTAGGTGACCTGCAAAGGAGATTATGTTGCATCAAAAGCAGCCCCACAGGGCCCACCCACCCCCAAAGACCACTAATCAAACACCCCGAAGCCTCCCCAAAAGAGAGAGCTGCTCTCTACTAAAAATACAAAAATTGGCCAGGCTCAGTGGTTCACGCCTGTAATCCCAGCACTTTGGGAGGCCGAGGTGGGCGGATCACCTGAGGTCAGGAGTTCGAGACCACTCTGATCAACATGGTGAAACCCTGTCTCTACTAAAAATACAAAAATTAGCCAGGCGTGGTGGCTCATGCCTATAGTCCCAGCTACTTGGGAGGCTGAGGCAGGAGAACTGCTTGAACCCAGGAGGCAGAGGTTGCAGTGAGCCCAACATCACGCCGCTGCACTCCAGCCCGGGTGACAGAGTAAGACTGTCTCAAACCAACAAAAAAAATTAGCCAGGGTCTGTAATCACAGCTACTTGGGAGGCTGAGGCACAAGAATCGCCTGCGTCCTGGAAGCTTAGGGCTGTAGCCAGCCGAGATCGTGCCACTGCACTCCAGCCTGGGTGACAGAGTGAGACCCTGTCTCAAGAAAAAAACAAAAAGAGACACAACCACAAGGAAACAGGAACGAACCCACACCCTGCTTACTGGCAACTAAAAAGAGCCCATGGGGCTGCAAATGGTACCAGCCACTGCTCCACAAAAAAGTGGTACCCCAAACCTGTCGGAAAGAGTTTCAGGGCCACTCCTGGCTCCTGGGGGCCATCCCTTCCCTTATGTTCCTGAGACTAGGGATGGCACCGGTTCTGCAAAGGGGCAAAGGTTCTCTGACGGCACAGGCTTCTCCAGCTTCTCCTTCCTTAACTAGCAATGCAAGAGGAAGCAAATCTCCCAAAAGGGAAGTAAGTTGTGGGCAGGAGAGCCTTCGCCATCCTCTCCTTCGGTGTCCTAAGCTGCCCCTACCAAGACCCCCCATGCAATCCCCGCACCCAAGAAACTTCCAACTCTTTCAAAATCCCACCCTCCGTCAATCCTCTCCCTCAACTCATCTCAAACCCGCCCCCCGCCTTAGCCTCCCCAGATTCCTCCCATCCACACGAGGCACCCCCGCTACAAACTCTACCAACCCAAACACACCCCTCGACTAGCAAAACAGAAACACAGACCGGTTCCCACAGAGCGACACAAGGTCCCCGGGTCCTCCTCCTCCTCCCCCAACCCGGGCTCCTGCCCCTTTGCGCCCGCTGGGGTGCAAAGGAGCCAAGATCTCCTTCTCCCCAGCCAGGTGCACCCCACATCTCAGGGACGGCGGGGCACTCACTCACCCACCCGCAGGACGCAGCGCTCGGGGGATCCCCGCGAGCCGGGGGGCTCCGCCTCGGGCGGAGAGCGCACGGGGGCCGGAAAAGACAGCTGCGGCTACCGGGATGCCAGGCCCGGAGCCTGTCCCCACCCCCACCAGCACGCGCGCGCCATTGGTCCCCGTCCTCGGCCCCGCCCCGTGGGCGCGCCCGGGGAAGCCCGACCCTCTCTGCGCTCCCCCAGCCTGCGCGGCTACAGCTCCACGTGCGCCCAGGGTTGCAACGCAGCCCTGCAGACAAGCGTCCCCGGCAGGGCATGGGCCCTGGGTCTCGGAGCCTCCATCACTTAGGTGCAAACAATCGTGGCCGCGGGGACCGGACCCCAGTCCGAGCTCCGAGGCGCTGGGAGCAGCCACCCTCCTAAAGGGGGCGTGTGAGGACGGCGGAAGGCGGCAGGGAGGTGGGCGGGGCTGCGACACCTGGGCCAGGTGCGTCACCTGGAACTCCGGCCTGCTTCGTTCGGGGACTTCTGGAGTCCTAGTCCTCCAACCTCTCAAAGCCCTAGAACCTCCACCGGGTTCCAGCCTCGCCCCTGACAGGCTGCGGGGATCCTCTCTTTGCGCCCGATCCAGCTGCGCTCTTCGCTTCGGCCACCGGAGGGAGCCATTGGCCGCCGAGCTGGGCCCCGCGTCGCTTTGCACCATCTGATGCCCGCTTTCGTGCCTCCCTGCACAGTGTTCTCACCTCCAGCAGAAACCCTAGAGCCTGTGAACTCTACTGAGAGCTGAGACTCCTTTTTCACTCTTTACAGATCCCATGAACAGCAGTATCGCCTGCCAACGCGTCCTCGTGTAAAATGGGCATAAACTCGAAACTCCCTCCTAAGGTTGTGAGTTCAGTAGGTACTCTAGAACAACGCCTAAAGATTCGATAAATTATCCCTTGCAAATAGCACTGTATTAAATTAGCCACTCTGTGAGGTAGGTACCGCTATTTCAATTTTTCAGATTAGGAAATTGAAGCTTGGAGAGTTTCAGATACATTTCTTTTTCTTTTTTGAATCCAGGGATTATTACACAGGCAGGAGTGCAGTGACGCGATCTCGGCTCACTGCAACCTCAGCCTTTCCGGCTCAAGCATCCTGCCTCGGCCTCCTGAGTGCCTGGAACTACACAGACACACACCACCACGCCTGGCTAATTTTTAAATATTTTGTAGAGACCCGGTTTTGCCATGTTGCCCAGGCTTCTCTGGAACTTCTGAACTGAAGCGTGTGCCTGCAGTCCCAGCTACTCAGGAAGCTGAGGCAAGAGGTTCGCTTGAACCTGGGAGGCAGAGGTTGCAGTGAGCTGAGATTGCACCACTGCACTCCAGCCAGGGCGACAGAAAGAGACTCTGTCTCAGGAAAAAAAAAAAAAAAAAAGTTTTCAGGGTCAGTTATAAGCACTCCCTTGTATACCCTGGCCTGTCCGTCACTGAACTCTGTTTCTGTAAATCTCAACCTCCACCTTACCCTGCTACTCTGTGGTTTTGCCTTGGACCTTGTCTTCATCAATGACTGCAGCCCCGCCTCTTCAGTTCACCTCTTCTTCTGCGCTTATTAAAGAAATAATCTGACTCTTGTTAAAACAGTAAGTCAGATTTATTCAGGACTATTTTGATTGGCACCAAGATGGTGGCGAGGAGCTGGGTGTGGTGGCTCACGCCTGTAATCTCAGCACTTTGGAAGACTGAGGCAGGAGGATCACTTGAGCCCAAGAGCTCCAGACTAGCCTGGGCAATATAGTGGGACCTCATCTCTACAAAATTTTTTTTTAAAAAATTGGGCCAGGTGCAGTGGCTCACACCTGTAATCCCAGCACTTTCAGAGGCCGAGGTGGGCGGATCACGAGGTCAGGAGATTGTGACCATCCTGGCCAACATGGTGAAACCCCGTCTCTACTAAAAATACAAAAATTAGCTGGGCGTGGTGGCACGCACCTGTAATCCCAGCTACTGGGGAGGCTGAGGCAGGAGAATCGCTTTAACACGGAAGGCAGAGGTTGTGGTGAGCTGAGATCGCGCCACTGCACTCCAGCCTGGGCAACAAGAGCAAAACTCCATCTCAAAAAAACACAAAAAAAAGAAGAAAAGAAAACAATTAGCCAGGCGTGGTGGTGCACGCCTGTTGTCCCAGCTCCTCAGGAGGCTGAAACTGGAAGATCCCTTGAGCCCAGGAGGTTGAGTGAGCTATAGTGCCACTGCACTCGAGTCTGGGTGACAGAGTGAGACGCTGTCTCAAACAAACAAAAAAGACTGTGGCAAGGTGTAGTGGCTTGCACCTGTAATCCCAGCACTTTGGGAGGCTGAGGCAGAAGGGTCATTTGAGACCAGGAGTTCGAGACCAGTGTGGGCAACACAGAAGACACTATCTCTAATTTTTTTTTAAATCAGCTGGGCGTAGTGGCACACACCTGTAGTCCCAGCTACTCGGGAGGCTGAGGTAGGAGGATGGAGGCTGCGATGAGCTATGATCCTATGACTGCACGCCCATCTGGGCGATACAGCAAGACCTTACCTCAATAAAAAGAAAGAAAAGGAAGGAATGAATGAAGGAAGGAAAGACGGGAGGGAGGGAGGGAGGGAAAGAAGGAGGGAGGGAGGGAAGGAAAATAAGGAGGCTGGGAGTTGTGGCTCATGCCTGTAATCCCAGCACTTTGGGAGGCCAAGGCAGGCAGATCACTTAAGGTCAGGAGTTCAAGACCAGCCTGACCAACATGGGGAAACCCTGTCTCTACTAAAAATACAAAAATTAGCCAGCATGATGGCAGGCTTCTGTAGTCCCAGCTACTCGGGAGGCTGACATGGGAGAATCACTTGAACCTGGGGTGCAGAGGTTACAGTGAGCTGAGATCACACTATTGCACTCCAGCCTGGGTGACAAAGCAAGACTCTATTGCAAAAAAAAAAAAAAAAAAAAAAAAAAAAAAAGGGAAGGGAGGATGTTGGGGAGGGAGAGAAGGGACACAGTAGAAAGAGGGTAAGATCGATGAAAATTTTAGTCAGTCTCCTCTAGGTCATCTTTTTTTTTTTTTTTTTTTTTTTTTTTTTTTTTGAGACAGAGTCTCCCTCTGTTGCCCAAGGCTGTAGTGTGGTGGCATGATCTTGGCTCACTGCAACCTCCCCATCCCAGGTTCAATTGTTTCTCCTGCCTCAGCCTTGGAGTAGCTGGGACTACAGGTGTCTGCCACCATGCCTGGTTAGTTTTTGTATTTTTAGCAGAGATGGCATTTCACCATGTTCTCCAGGCTGGTCTCAAACTCCTGACCTCAGTTGATCCACCCACCTCGGCCTCCCAAAGTGCTGGGATTACAGGCGTGAGCCACTGCGCCAGGCCTGGGTCCTCTTGACTGGGTCTCTCAATGTTGTGTTCCACTCCCTCCACGTCCCACTGCCTTGCCAGGTCTGCCTAGCCCAGTTTAGAGTGAATCTGGGAGGTTGAGGCTACAGTGAGCTGTGATCACACCACTGCACTCCAACCTGGATGACAGAGCAAGACCCCACTAAAAAAAATTTAAAAGACATTTAAGCTAGGTAAGAAGGGAAGTGAAGGCCGGGCCCAGTGGCTCACGCCTGTAATCCCAGCACTTTGGGAGGCCGAAGCAGGAGGATCACTTGAAGTCAGGAGTTCAAGACCAGCCTGGCCATCATGGTGAAACCCCGTCTCTACTAAAACTACAAAAATTAGCTGGGCCTGGTGGTGCACGCCTGTAATCCCAGCTACTCGGGAAGCTGAGGCGCTCCCACCAAGGCGACAGAGCAAGAGTCCATCTCAAAAAAAAACACAAAAAACTAACCAAACACTCTCCTTATATTAGTTGTCTATCCTAGCTCACTCTCTTTTTTCTCCTTCCTTCCTTCCTTCTTTCCTTCCTTTCTTTCTCTTTCTTTCCTTCTTTCTTTTTTTTTTTTTTTTTTTTGAGACAGTCGCACTCTGTCGCCCAGGCTGGAGTGAAGTGGCCGGATCTCGGCTCACTGCAAGCTCCGTGTCCCGGGTTTACACCATTGTCCTGCCTCAGTCTCCCGAGTAGCTGGGACTACAGGCGCCCGCCAACTCGCCCAGCTAGTTTTTTGTATTTTTTAGTAGAGACGGGGTTTCACCATGTTAGCCAGGATGGTCTCGATCTCCTGACCTCGTGATCCGCCCGTCTCGGCCTCCCAAAGTGCTGGGATTACAGGCTTGAGCCACCGCGCCCGGCCCCTTTCTTTCTTTCTTGATGGAGTCGCGCTCTGTTGCCCAGGCTGGAGTGCAGTGGCACGATCTCGGCTCACTGCAGGCTCTGCCTCCCGGGTTCAAGTGATTCTCCTGCCTCAGCCTCCCAAGTAGCTGGGACTACAGGCACCCGCCACCACGCCCAGATAATTTTTTGTATTTTTAGTAGAGACGGGGTTTCACCGTGTTAGCCAGGATGGTCTCGATCTCCTGACCTCGTGATCTACCCGCCTTGGCCTCCCAAAGTGCTGGGATCACAGGCATGAGCCACCGCACCCGGCCTTTTTTTAAATTTTTATGTAAACGGAGTCTCACTGTCACCCAGGGCTGGAGTGCAGTGGCACAATCTCGGCTCACTACAACCTCTGCCTCCTGGGTTCAAGCAATTCTTCTGCCTCAGCCTCCCAAGTAGCTGAGACTACAGGCACACACCACCACACCCGGCTAATTTTTGTATTTTTAATAGAGACGGGGTTTCACCATGTTGGCCAGGATGGTCTCAATCTCTTGACCTCGTCATCTGCCCACCTTGGGCTCCCAAAGTGCTGGGATTACAGGCATGTGCCACCATCCCCAGCCTATCCTGGCTCTTTTTAATCCCTTCCTCTCACTTCTTTCTTTTACTTTTTTTTTTTTTTTTTTTTTTTTTTTTTTTTTTTTTTTTTTTTTTAGCTGAGACTACAGGCACACACCACCACACCCGGCTAATTTTTGTATTTTTAATAGAGACGGGGCTTCACCATGTTGGCCAGGATGGTCTCAATCTCTTGACCTCGGTCATCTGGCCCACCTTGGCTCCTGCAAAGTGCTGGGATTACAGGCATGTGCCACCATCCCCCAGCCTATCCTGGCCTTTTTAATCCCTTCCTCTCTACTTTCTTTTTTTTTTTTTTTTTTTTTTTTTTTTTTTGAGGCAGAGTATC